GCCGGTTGGTCCTGCTGCGATACAGGGGGGGGGGGGGGGGATAAACGCGACCAGGCTTTCGGTCAAACTGTCCCGAGGAGCTGCTCACATCGCTGAGCCGGGGCACCACTGTTAATGTTATTTTGAGCGTCAGTAAATTTTCCTACTTTTCACTCTGCAATGAGCATTCATTTACGTAACGTGATGCTCATATCAAAAGCTTTGGCGCTGTTTTTTTTTACTAGTACCATTCTTTTTATTTTTCATGACCACAAAGAAAATTTGATGTAAATGAAGCCATTCAATGCCTGGTTACTGCCCAGGTACTCACATAAAATATAATTCCTCAGATTCGCACAACAAAACACTATAGGGCAAAGAGCAGATGCTCGTGCATCGTCAATTTACCACAGGCAAAATATGCTAATTTCAGCAGAGTTAACTCGAAATCAATGCAGTTGCTGCTCAGAAGCATCTGCAGAGACAGAAAATTGTTCCTTAACCTCGGAACTCGACAGGATTTGTCCTCAGAGGGAAATCTTCCAAGAAAAAGTTCGAAATTTGATGCTAAAAATAAGTAGGTATATGCTTTCGTATTTAACCCTAAAAGTGAGTTTCTACAGCGAATATTCTTCTGGAATTTTAAGGTTTCTAAGCCATGAATGAGTAGTAGTCTCAATCAAATTCACTTTACTCTTAACATGAAGCACTTCTATACACGCGCTTTTTTGATAAAAGTTACTATCAAAAAGCGCAGTTAAAATTGTTCTCGAGCTGCATTCAAAATGACGACACCTTGCTCTCATCTGATGTAAGTACTAATTCAAAGGGACTTGGATTTTCCGCAAATGATGAGCCTCAAAGCCTGTGGTTGGTGACTACTTCCCAGCAAAATTTCAGTAAAATAGCAATAAAAAGAGTCAAATTGGAACGACTGTAAGTAGTATCCAATTGCATACTTCCCCCTAAATATTGTAAGGGGAAGAATCAAAGCTTTTCGGAAAGGACGGACAATTTTTGAGGATGAAAACAAATTTTATTATATCTCAGTCCAAACAGAGTTTCTGATTCGTTTTATTATTTCCCTTCTTTTCTCTTCTCGGATTAAAGCAGCTTATATTTCTGGGCATAGCCACGATCAGTCATTGCTTAACCTTACCAGGCGCAATTCCCTTGATTAGAGCGCGCTTTTCCAATAAAAAAATATTTCAAAAGTTTTTTGGGCCTCACTCCGGCAAGACTCGTTACCCATGGAAAGAGGGTGGCTTATGCAATTTTGGGTACTACACTGGTTTTGCAATTCTAGAGCCCACTGCACCCCCGCTTGCCACCCTTCATAGCCTTAGGGTGATCGATACGGGGGGACGAGAACGACGAGGATGAAGAGAGCCGGACGTCGAGGCGTCGTCAGCGCCCTCGTCGTGACACTTTCCTCCTCATCTCTGTCGTTCGGAGCACCAGAATCGCACTTTTCTGGTCTTTTGAACTCTCTGAAACACTCACTGATGCAGCGATGAATTATTTATTTGTTCGCGCTTTTATTAGCATTCTCTTGCCAGACGCTATTGCTTCTCTTACAATAATCCTTTACCTAAAGGGCGTGAGAATGATGCTTCTTTGCTCGCTTAATCCGGTATTTTTTCTGCTCATAATTTTCTTGTCCTTTTTGAGCTATGGGTTGTCTATTTGACTCATTTGATCGTTGAAAAAGCTTTATTCTTAAGTACTTGAAGATTAGGTTTTTTCCGAGCTTCCTTGCTTATTGAGGAGTTTTGAAGGATTTTTAGGAATTCTTTCACTTCGTCTAAGGGACGAACGGAACGTAGTCTTGTAGTTATTCACAAACAAAAATATCATTTCGTCTTGTGTAATTTGAATGTAAGTATTTATTTCACTCACTTCATAAAGGACATCCTGTAATTTCGAATCAAGAGGAAATTTTATTTTCTGCATGAAATCTGAAGAAGGGACTAAAAAGGAAAAATCGTTTAGGTCAATCTTTTTCACACTTTAGCGATTATTGTAAAACAGGAAACTGTTCTAGTAGAGGTTTTCCATTTATATTTTGATTACCTTAAATTCTTTATGATTGACAAATTAATAAACATGTCGAGGATATTCCACGAATTTTTCCCTCCCTCAAAACCGAAAGAGCCTTTTTCAGTTTCCAATAACCTCTAATATAGCTAATTTTGATTCTGCAGCAGAAATGTCTATTACAGCTATCAGATCGAAAGCCAGCCATTGCGTTTTAGCATAAAAATTGCATCGAATTTCATTGCCCTTAAAAATGAACAATATGCACTTATAACGAAGGCATACATACTCATTTTCACCATAAATTCGCATGGTGAATTCACATTCTAATTCAATTCCATAAGGTCACTATAATTTTCACCGTAATTTTAGCCATAATTTTTTTTGCTTTTGCAGCCATTTCTGTCTTGCAACGAGGTATTGAGATATTTTAATCAAAGTATAGCGAGCCATTGTAGGCTTTTTTTTCAAATCCGTCCTTTGCATTTATGACAATTTTTGCTTCTTATTTGATGCATTTATACGCGTCAGTTTTTTCAGAAATGTGGATACTACAAAAGCCAATAAAATCTATTTTTTAATATTTAATTCATGGTTTCTAAGATTCTTACAATAAGACTGAATAAAATAATTATTACCCTTTCATTAACTACTATCTACATTCATACTTTTTTTTCGAAAAGTTATGGTCTATATTAACCTTTATGTTCTTTTTCTCCTGTTTGATTTATCCTCAGGGCCCAGTAATCTATCTCTACAAGGCTTAGCCTATTCATACTCCATCTATTCTTCTCAGACTCTATACATAAATTTTGTCGGAATATGAGCGCTGAGCAATATGTCAAGCTTTCAATAGCTCCAAAGCTTTTTTGCTTGGCCAGTAACTAAAGTTCGAAAATTGGCTTGAGACCCCCTAAGCGGTCTTTAGACATTTTTTAGGCGTTTTTTGCCGTTTCTACCAGAAACCTTAATTTCCCAATGGTGATTTCCCAAGAAGAAAGCGATATGTCTTTCGTCCAGCGATGCGATTACTTCCATCATCAATCTTTCCGCCAGCATCAAAAAGAAAATGATGGTTTGGAGTTGGGGGCCATTCAGTCCAAACAACGAATTTCGATGAATAAAAGATGAACTTGGCTATTTGCCAAGAAGAAAGAAGCATTAGAATCTGGAACTTAAATGTTCGCTATTCTCAAAATCTAGGGTTTTTCTCCTCCTAAATATTTTGCAACAGGGCATATGGAACAGAATTTCAGTTGTTTTGGTACAACCCGCCCTTACATCTCATGAATTTCCCCTCCCCTCTCCTCCCCCTTCCTCCCTCCATCTCTTAAAAATTCTCGAATGAGCCAGACCCTCGAGTAAACATCATCAGGCTCATGTTGAAATGCTGTTGAGAGACGGCTATCAGAGACGTGATCGTGTTTCCCGTGGGGCTTACTCTAACGATACGTACTTCATTTACTTCGTTCTACTCAGGAAAAGGTCAACATTCTCCCTCTACTACGACTTATGAGAAAAGAATACACTTCTCGCAAATCATTCTCTCATAAAAGTTAGTTATTCTTTTACAAAAGCTGAGTTTTATGAAAAAAATGTAATGATCAGGCCCATATGCATCTCGCTCTTCAGAAATAGCTATTTGTTAGGAATGAGCAGTTTAAGTTTTATTCAACTATTCATCACTTTATTTGATCGTTCATTTGGTAATTTATTGTTCAAGTTCTAATGCGTGGCACAAGAAAAATAAACTCGCATTAAGAGACATAGCATATTTGGAAATAGAGACAAAAATGAAATTACGAATAATATTACTATTGAATTTTGCCATTTAGATGATGATAAAATGTGCACGTATTTGTACGCTTGTTTATTTCTGTTATTTATACCATTTATTATTATTGGCACTCTTCCAGCTTGCTAGAAAAGTGCTAGCCTCTTGAAATTTGAAGGTCAAAAATCTGGTGTTACTTTCCATCACATTATGTACTTGTGTAATTTTTTATTGTTCTTTGTACTTTCATGTCTTTTTTTCAGTTTAGCCGGAGAAATTGTTGATTATAAGAGAAAAAAAAGTTTTTGAATACTCCGTTTCGTTCCCTCTCTTAGATGAAGTAAGGGATCATACAATCGGAACTCTCCCCAGAACTCTTCAGTAAAGAAGGAGAGTTCATGAGTCCTGTGTATATCTCAAAATAGTTTTAAGATAAATTTTGAATGTTGTTAAGATAGTTGAAGTCTAATAACCTACAATTTGTATACTGTGTGTTGATAATGTCTTAATTATGTTTGAATTTATGTTGAAGATCAAAGACCAATAATTTTTCATTATTTTACAATTACATCTAAGGTTGATTTTTATTTTTTTTAGTTTTTCTAGTTCTTTGACTTCTGAAAGCCCATAGCATGGTTCCGAAAATAATGATTACCACCCAGAAGTCCATTGGAGCGATACTTATTCGAATTACGAGGGAACAATACAAAAACTGGACTCATAAAGCCATAAAGTACCTTTCTATGAATCAGTACAAGATTAGAAAATATCCTTATCTCTGAATTTTCTTCAATTTAGCAATGATAGGACAGGATAGCGTAAACTAGTAGATTTCTCCCATTGTTTGCCTTCATCTTGCTTAACCTCATTACTCGTCCCATTTGTCTCATCGCTCATTAAGTTAACCTTTTTCAAAAGCCCATTTTCTCAAAACGTTTCGTTTTGGGGAGGGGCGGAGCCTATCTAACCTCACTCCATTCTTCTCCCTTCCGCTTGCACTCCTCTTTCTTCTATGACCTCACCTTTTCCGCAAATTGTAGCCCTATTAAATGCTTCACTATTATGCAGCATGCCAAAAATCAATTTTATGACGAATTCTCGAAATCTTCTTCCCGCTCAAGTGTCCGCTTTGATGAGACATTTCGCGCCCATCGTCTTTCACTCAATTTTTTTGCTTCTCATTTCAGCTTTGAGTGTTCGTTTTCAGAAAATGAACTTCTTCAAACGAAAATTCTCATTTCACGAAGAAGACGGTGAAGCATCGTTGGAGGATCCATCAAGTACAACGATTGCAATGCCAGCACCACCAAGTGCTTTTTCTTTTCAATCTATTGCCAATAAAGTCTCGAGCACTATAAGGTAGGTTTTGAAAGATTCGGCAACCTAAAGCTTTTGCGGGGAATTTGAAATTATTCATGAATCAAGTGCTTTGGATACGGTAGGCGAAAAATTTGAAAAGAATTCAATCCCGAAAGCAATAAAGCAATAAAACCTCCGTCATTTCAATCTTACCTTTTTCTTCTCATTTTCAAGCTCCGAATCCAGTTAAAGAAGCTGGAAAAGTACAGGAAACACATCTCTCTCACGTGATTGACACCTTCAAGGACATGGTAGTGTCCTTTTTGCTTTCACAAATTGAACGCAAGCGTATCAGTCCCAATGTAGAGTCATGTTTCTTATCCCGTCTGTCTCTGCCTTTCCTTCATTTATGCTAATTCCATACATTTTTTGAATAATTCCTTTTTTACATGACTTTCTTACCATTCAAAATAGTTACGTTTTTTATAAGCATAGAAAAATGAAGAGTTTATTTTCCTACAAATTGTTGCGCGAAAACTGTCGAAAGTATTTATGATAATTTCGGAAAACTGACTATTTGTCAGTTTGTCTGTTCCTCATCCCTCATTTACCGCATCAGCAATCCAATTGTGTAAAAATTTCAATCTTTTTATTTTTTCCTGAACTAAAACTCACCGCAGAGGTTCATATAAGGCAAGTTTCATAGCTTTCAAAAACTTCCGCCAGTTATCTACTTTAGCAAAAACCTTGAATTCATAACAAAAACAATTTTGCCTCTTAATTCTCCTTTCTTAATTTGTTCTTTTCTTTTCTTTATGCCTTACGATTGTCTTGCTATCCGAGGCCACCATCCTAGGCAATTGGTTATTACCAGCATTTCGAATGCTCTTCTTAGGAACTAAGAAGACTGCTTTATTGTTCATAATTTATTGCATGCTCCACAAAATTTTTTATCGTTTTATTCGCAATGGTTTTGAGGTCCCTCGAATGTCTAACATTCGCTTGAAAGAGCAGTTACTCGGCCAGAGGAGAGTTCCTACCCCTCTCTGACTCTGATTGAATAGTTCAGAACATTCTGACTTCGTTCACGTACGACACAATTGCTTCAAAACACGAAAGACCAATGAGTTTTCAATTTGTCTAGTGCATTCGTGCGTACTAAATTGCCTCAACTCAATAGTCGAGGAAGCAGACGGCGAAAATTCTCCAAAAAAACTTGCATTGCATCACTATATCTCGTTTTTTTACTCTACTCAGTCCCGTTGCTTGTTTTAAAGTTAGGGTTGCCAAATTGGGCTATAGTAAAGTAGCCGAATGTGCGCCATTGTTTTTGGGCTGGCTCAACAAACAAAATCTGCTGAAAACAGGGGCGACGAAATTGACGAGATTGTGTCAAGACCTCGTTAGAGATCCTTCCCTTAGACGTGGCCTACGGCTAGCAAGTACTTCGGGCAACTCAGCAAAACTTTTTTGAAAGCATTTCTCACTTCATCTGGAGTTTGTGAATTGTTTGTTTGTCAGATTATTTGTTTTTTATTGTTTCTTTTTCTAACTATTCACATTTGATCTCAATTTTCTATTTTATACTATGCGTCGTAATTGATTCAGCAGTCGTAAAGCTATCCTCCACGGTATAGGGAGTCCATTTGGACTCACATTATTACTCATTACAGTGGCGGCCCAAGAATTTTTCGCGGGGGAGGGGGGAATTTTGCAGTCCGATAATTTTGATTTATTTTATTTATTTATGTAACACACCCGAAGATGCGCCATCGAAGAACAGGAACAAAACCAGACACAAAAATACAAGGGGTAGTACAAAAGCAGAGTAGATATAAAACTTGGTATAGGCATTATCTGCTCAGTAGGTAGATGAACCGATTTTTTCTTTTGGATGGTCAGGTCTTTACTGAAAATTTAATTTAAATTTCAAAAATTTTCAAAATTAATTTTTCAGAATACTTCCCAAGATTATAGCGGATTCACTACTCCGATGTTATAGAAACCCCAAAAAAATTTTCAAGGAAAAATATTACAGTTAGTAAGTGAAAACAAGTCATTTGCACAATTCTATCACTAACGTACCCCTTGATTCAACCGGCTTGGCGGCTGGAATGCTTCGTGACCTAGTTTAGGTTAGATAATGATCAGAGAACACGCGCACGAGAGAGACGCAGATTGCGAAGCGGGCGTGAGCAGCATTAATTAGGTCGCAAAGCCGCGCCTTCCATCCGCCAAGACAGTTGAATCAAAGGCTAAGTCCTTTGAAAAATCGCAACAAATACCTCTTTGGTCTGTCACTGCCCATCACTTACAGTATATGGCATTTCCGCATGTATATAAATAAAGAAGTGAATAAATGATTAAATGATGAGGGGGCATCAATCAAGGGGGTACAAACTTCAATGAAATTTTAGAACTTGAGAAACCTTTTCTTTTATTTTACTTGCATCTTCCTGACAGAACAATGCGACAATCTCAGTCATCCTCAGCCTTCCTCCGCTCTCATTTTCCCCCTCGCCGTTTTGCTCTAATTTTGAGAAATCTTATTCATTCATGGAATTCACCTAAATTTTTTTCATTTAAAGTGTTCTACATCACAATTTTTGAAACCATCTACCATGTATTTCATAGTTTTGCAGCAATTCTCTGCGTCGATGTTTCTGGAAGTTTCTCGAGACTTAGTGCACATTTCACTTTTTGTCTCTTCCCAGCCTTTTGTTCCATTTCTGTCCCAAAAACGACGTCTCAATAGAAAATCGCATTTTTTGTTTCCTCTATTTATTGTTTCAATCCTTTCCACTCATTCACAGTAGCTATAATAATGCATAATGCATGTGGGACTGCATAGCATTTTTGTACTTTTTGAAAATTTTCAGTAAACGGAACGAATGAAAAACACCACAAACTTGTCCAGCTAGCTTAGAAGGAGTATTTTAGTCGCTGAATTGCTAATGAAATCGTAACCCTCCGTTTATCCAGCGGAAGTCTTATGAAATTAAAAATAGCGGAGAAAATTTTCTTTGGAAGGCAAGATTGAAAACAAGTAAAAGAAAAGAAAGCAAAACGGGAACAGTTAAAGACATCAGATGTAGAAAGTCGTATTCAACAAAGGTCAGCTATCCTTGTCTTTCAAGAAATAAAACAGAGCAAATTGCTCAGCTCGACTCGACCACCCATAAAGTGTCTTCACTTGAACATGATTAAAGTTCTGCCTAAGGCCCCGGGCAGACTTCACGCGATTTGATCGTCGCGACTCAATCGCCAAGATTTCCATTCATTTTCATTTCACATTCAAAAATTTCGGTTTGGAAAAATATCACAACCGAATGCAAGTTGATCGGCATGGAATGATGTTGTAACAGCTGTCTCGTCGCGACTCAGTCGCGACGACCAAATTGCGTGAAGTCTGCCCGGGGCCTAAGGGGGAAGACATCCTTACAAATATCAATAGAAGAAAATATCTGAAACTCATCTTTACCATAAAATGAGCGCAAACCAGCGGTACTACTGGTACGGTATAAACGGTATGTACTATAATGTAATCACTCGCAAAAAACATTTCTAGACATTTTGAGTTAGACAACGTTCAAATTTTCGGCAACCCCTTCTACTCATTTTGCAAACCCCTGAAAACAATTTTTGTCCAACCACAAGTAGTATTGAATGCTCTTCCACCCCCAATATCGACAAAACGGCAGGTGTTCCCGCCGGAGTTAATCATTTATAGGTTTCTTAATCATTTCTCATCACGATTAGCACTTTAGTAGTCCATGCGTGGGTTGAACTTTTTCTAGCATGGCTACTGTTTCACCCTTTATGGCACCTATATTTCCTTCCAATGACGTGTGGGCTGATTTTTTTCCATAATGATGTCACCATTGAGTCAATCGTAAGCAGAGCTGGGCTTATAAAAGAGATCTTCCATTGTGTATAAGTCTGTTGTGAAATCTAGAGTAATAAACTAGACTTTGTCGAAGAAGGGCTCGATCTAGACCAACTGGTCCCTTCTGCATATTTACGTATTTCGTGCTAGGGTGAGTTGTCCGCAAAGGGCGGAGCTTAATGGCAGTTTACACTCCTACGCACATAAATCTCTGATTTTATTTTGCGCACTTCTTTGAAATCGAAGTGGTCTGCAGTCCATTTGTTCTATTTTGACCCCTATTTTCTTTCACAGGCCAATACTTTTTACTTTTTTTCAGATTTATTTGCTGACTTGATAATTGATCCTTTTAATAATTCATTTTAGTGCGCCCACGTCTCCAGCCAGATCCTCAGAATCGCTAGCGGCCGCGCTCGAACGCTCATTACAACACGATCGTAGCCGAGGTGCCCCTGTAATGCCACCGGATGCTAAAGTACTGCTTGTAATCGACAATCAGGCTGTTGATTGGTAGGTATACTGTAGCTACAGTAATTGAAGCGCGAAATTCTGGTGGAAAAAATCTGCAAAATTTTCAGGAGTAAATACTTCCGAAATCCAAACGAGTTTCCAATAAGGGTTGAACAGGTAAGAGTTTCTATTTTCAAAGCTAAAATTATATTTTGGGAGTTTCACACCAGTTTTATATATTGCTATAAAAAGGTTATGGTAAGAGGTAACGTAATTGTTTTCGTAAAATTTCAACGCTAATTCTATTCCGCTTACGATAGAAATAGTGTGATTCTAGATTGTGGGTCAATTACAGTACCTTCGTTACAGGCCGATTTTCCAGAACTGGATGTGATATGCACAGAAAATAGCCTTACCGTAGAAATTAACCAACCTGGACGAGATCCAAGGTAAGCAGTCAAAGTTTTACGTTCTAGAAAAAATTACTCGGGTGATGCGGCAAACAACCAAAAGATGCCACAACTTTGTATTTGATATGCTGCTTATTATTCGACAACGCGTGTACTTCCTTCGTTGCAGGACCTTCTACCCCCAAGCAGCATTTGTTGGGCCGTCAGCAGCTCATAGCCAGCAGTCCAAAACTATCCTACGATCCATGATAGCTGCTGGAATCCCTTTCGTAAACAGTCACACATCGATGATTGCCTTTATGGATAAAAATAATTTGGTATAGATCGATATTCACACACTAGATGTACTTACAAGCAAATCTATTTTTTAGAAAAAGCAGCTAAGAAAACTGGTCCTCCCAGATAGCAGCCGTATTCCATTGTTGCCGACCATACATTATCCACATTTTCATAGATTTGTAAGTTGAGCATCACCGCAGAGCTTTCAATAATTCAGTGTTTCTTGCGTTTAGCACCAACCCACAACATTCCCGGTAGTTGTCTCGGTAAATGAAGGTTATCAAGGTATTGGCAAAATCAAAGTCAATAACAGTGAGGAGCTGTGTGATGTGGAAGGAATGCTGCAGATTATGGGAAAAGGCGACACAGAGGTAACACACTTTTCCACCAAAATATTTTTCATTGCGGGGACCAGTTCTCGTCGGCTAATCAGCTTATTTTCAGGTACAAGTGGAGCCGTTTGTGGAGTTGAAATATGATTTACATGTGCAAAAGATAGGCAACGACGTAAAGACATTTCTTCGAAGAGGAATTTCAAAGAACTGGAAGAGTAATGTTGGATCGTCCGTATTGGAACAAATTCCAACCAATGAGAGGTGAGCATATCATCCATTCATAGACTAGGATACACGAGATGGTGTTGCACACATTGTTTGACAAGGTTGAACATGTTTCTCACGAATTTTGAGTGGAGAGTTGTCCAAATCGCGTTAATGCATACGTTTAAACTTCGAACACGTACGCAAAGCGGTATTGACTCCAGCTAGGGGATCAGTTCTCGCCTAGGTATTTTTGACCCTAGTTCAATTGTAACACCAGAACATTTAGGCATAAACAATATATACAAGCCATTTGCGATCATGTTGGCCGAATGTCAATTTGCTCCATCGATATACTTGTTTCCAAAGAGGGCCGTGAATACGTCCATAACGTCAACGATGTCATTGGTAATATTACATTGCGACTCAGTAAATTCTCAAATAATTCCGCTCTAGTTTCAGCCTTATTCGGCGAATCACAAGAAGACGATCGTCGCAACGCGTCCGCGTTGTTGCGTGCAATCCTGGCCCCGCCTCCGCGCCTGCCATCTCGTCCGTCGATGGAGCGCGTTGCGCCGCGATACCGCGAGTCGCGCATACAACAAAATATGCAACGTGCGCCAAGTGTGGAGAAAAGACCAGTGGAGATTATCGAGAAGAAAGAACTCAAGGAGCAACCTTCAGTCACCTCACAATCTTCTTTCGCCGATGATACTATGGGACAGCTGAAGCGCACATTTGCCGGCATCTTCGGTGATGTGTCGTAAATGGACATCTGAAAGGAAAGCTTCGAAGTCTCTTTATTTGAACCAACTCCAAACATCTCCAAACTTCCAACAGAGGGGTTGAGTTTTAAGCTCCACCCCTCTATTCTATTTGGACAGCTCTGCTAGAATTCATAGCTAGAGTAGCAAAGATTCCTTATTAATAGTTCAGCTTTGACGGCTAATACAGTGCCTATGTGTTCATTGCGTACTTACACGAAAAAAACGACTCTGAATTTCCGCCGAAAACGGAATACTGTGCCCACAGCTTTTTCGAGGAAGAAACGGAATTCGAGGCATTAGCCGAAGTTGCTAACACGATAAGCTGCCATGGCGTGTAAGTAGGAGGAGCCTCAAGTTGCTGCATTTTGCACGTTTTGTCGTTCTGCAAAGTGACCCCTCTGCACCCCATGGTCATAATTTACGCGCAAATGTTGTCATCACCGTAGAGGCACTATATTAACAGCCAAATCTACTAAACAGTAACTGTCTTGGGTACAAATAATCCCAACAAAGGTGCTTCTTTCAGAAATAGATCTCCTCTCTTGTTAACGTAATTTCACCGCTGTTGTTCTGCTAGTTCTCTGATTAGTCATTTTTGAAACTCGTGCTGTACGCAACTCGTCGTCCACCAACAACCGCAACCAAGAGCCTCAAACACAAAATTTTGGAAAAACTTCCATGTTGAAGAGCAATTTGATTTTTTTTTGCCTTAATTGCCCCCAGCACCATTTTACCATTCACCTTAAAATCTGCAAAAGCGCGTTGGAACGGACGAGTTGTTGCAAGGCACAAAAAACAAACTGCAGTCTTAAATTTTCCGAAATCGAGTGCACACGCTTCTCCGTAAGATAGTTAGTTATTTATTTATTCTGTGTCTTCTCTGTTGCTCCTATTCGCTCGTACTATCTCGCTTCAGCGATTCACTTGCCACAAAGCCTTCGTATTATATATTGCGTAAGATCTCGAATCCTTGGATTTTATATTTCGAGTGACAAATTATTTGACCGAAAACAAGAAAAATAAAGGAAAATCGTGTATGTATGTTATTTGTGAAGAAAACAGAATTCACTACCTTCAATTGCATAATGCGCCACCGACTGAAAATAATGTCATTTTTTATACCACTTTCATTCTGTCGCACGACCCTAACGAAAGCATTGGTTTGCGTACTTCTGGCCAGGCCATACTTTTATCAAATCTGTTTCCAACATTGGCACAAGATTCCATCTATCCTAGTAAGAGTTTAACATACAAGCTTCGTATGAACATCCTATGTTTAGTAAGTGCACTAAGAACAAGTGCTTAGAAACAACACAAATGCAGGAATGAACATTGTATGTCCAGTAATATTTGGTAGCAAACTTGCCAAGTTGATTATTAACATCTTGAAGACGATGTAAGGTCAAAAAGGTTTTACAGCCTATGGAATAACAAATAGTGCTGAAAGGTAGTGATATAGGAGTATCAATCTAAACCCGTAATAAATGCTGAATTATGACAAAAGTGAACAAAATGAGGAAAGATACTATTTTAACTTCAATTTGGCAGCAAGACGTTGTTTGACTGTTGACGGCTTTCTCTTAGCTATCGTTGCTGGGCGCTGGAGGTCTCCTAGAAAATTCTACTGCATCTCATAAGTAAACCTCCCGACCCTCGCGAAGACGTACCTGTACCAACCGCAGCTTTGCCTTTTTTCTTCGCTCGTTCGTCACGTAGCAGATTCCTTTCTTCTTCTTCACATGCCAGTTCCATTTCAGTGTCATAGGTGACTACATTTCGCTCTGGCGGCTGTTCTCCCTTCTCTAAAACATACAATCCTATCAGCTTGTAACGCGTGCTAAATGACAGACCTTCTAGTTTCTTCGCTGTTTTCTCCAACTCATCCAACCCTACAGCTTCGGCAAGCCACGCCGATGGCCGCGGCTGTCGTCCACTTGAACTACGACGTGCAAACATTTGCGTCATATTCACCTCTTCCAGCATTGGATCAGGTTTCTCTACTACCGAAGATGCATACTAAATCAGACAAAATGGCACTCGTTACTCAATAAATCCGCTCACGTTTTTTCCTTTCCACACAATTTTCAGTCGAATATCGAGCGGAGCCTCTTCGTCCAATGCATCAGACGCGGGCTCTCCGGACTCTCTAGAAGGTCTCAATCTGAGACGAGAAGATTATTCAAATAGAATTAATCGAAGTGGTATTTCCTTATGAGAAATAACTCCAAGTGCAAAAACTGCTAACTCCTCTAGATCTGTCTTCGCTGTTCGAAGGAAAGCTACGGAAAAGTTATGAGTCTCTTGCAGCAATGAATGCGCCATCAGGAAAAATCAGACTTAAGAGTCTTCCAAGAGCTTAACTGAGACAGTGGTGAGAAAATATGATATTTCATGGTATTGGGAACTTGACAATCACCGATGTTCTATACAAGCAAGGCTGTCCTGAGTGTTTTGTCCAATCTGCGCGTTCAGATCTTCGCCCTGACCTACGCTAATACGGAAAAGAGATTCGAAATATTCAGTATCTCCCAAAATAGCACATATTTAGTCCACTTCAACTAACTTAGGTATCACTTCCAAGTCAATCACATATATATTTTGGAATGAATGAAAAACTCGAACTAAGGAAAATCTTACTCTGCTGTTGGTATGGCAAGCTCTATATGAGGAGTATGGGCTGCAGGATCAGTAGAAACCGCTGGCGCATCCAAACGTTGCTCTGCTTCAGTAACAGATGATGTACTAGTCCCTGCTAAATCACAGGAATGATGACATCGTTACTGCACTTTTATGCTACAAATGGCTAAAAATATTTTACTACCTTATAAAAAATGCACATTTTCAATTATTATTGAATTAACTCCCCATACAATTCCCTCAAAAGCTGCTCCTCTTTCGCAGCACAATGCTTCGCTCTGCATATAGAAGTCTAACAAGAAAGGACTCTTGAAGAAGAACTCACGCTCTACAAAAAGTTCAAGGTCTTCAGATTTTCTCTTTTTCGTTGTCTTTCTAGGTGACCTACATGCAGGCGAGAGAGAACGGCGAATGCGCTGAAATAAACCAGGTAATCTCACTTGTCTGTTTCATGTGGCATGTGAAACCACTTACGTGTTGTTTGTTGATCTCCCGCTGTAGTTTCACCAAAACATCGTTGAAGGACTGCGTACTGTTCATCTTGGCCTCCTAAAGCACAAACAGAATGTGCGAGGTAGTATCATGCATGTTAATACCTTGTCACGACGCATCCACTCTTTCAAACATGGCATCAATGCCGTTGCAGCATCCAATATGTACTGGTCAGCACGATTTCCTTCATCATTAGCTTCTAAATACGTAGGTACAGACAATAAATTAGCATTTTATTTTGCAGAAATGTCGCATACCTCTCAGCTGTTCTAAAATCAACGACCTGGCCGCATACCAATTCACTAATTCAAAGTGAGGAAAAAGAAATTTCTCCTCTGTGCCGACCAGCTTTTTCAAACGCTGCTCCATTTCATATATCCTGAAAGAAGCGCTGAAGTGCCAGCCAAATTGAGTAGATGCTGCAACTCACTTGAGTTGCATGGGCACGTTCAAGGCATGTAGGAAATTCCCTCCAAACACCAAAGAATCTTTAGGCGTATAGACAGCGTGTATCCATCCAGCGGGAATCATAAGCGTCTGACCTTTCTTGATTACCACCTAAAAGCAAAATACGACTGATAAAATCAATAGGATTCTTAAAAAAAAGATTCAAGTTACTGACCCTACGAACTGTTCCTGGCGGCAGGAGATCACCAAAAAATGTTTCAGATCTTGTTTCAGAGCGCTGATACTCTTCAAACAAATTCAGAAACTTGTCCGTGGGCTCGACAATGTAGAAAACCTTCTCGCCCTGAACGGACTTGTAAAATGATCAGATTGACGATCAATTCAAATGTCAAATTACCGAAAGGATAAAAAAGAGAAAGAACGAAAATCTCGAGACGACTTCACCTCATAAATGTGATACCATACACTGGATCCCCCAAAATCTATGTGGAAGTCAGTGTAAGAGCCAGCCATGCCACATAAGCAGAACAACGCCACCTCAGGCTTATTGTTACGGTGTTCTTCCAACACCTCGACAACCTGTTGCACTAAATTCTTACGATCAGATGTATAGATTCAAGAAAAACATGTGATGGTGTGGGGCTGACGATTAGGTACAGAAAGTTCAACTTCGTTACAAAGTGCCTCCACCAACCCTTATAGTTGTATTAAGTGAATGTAAAGAAACAAATAGTTAGACTACTTACCGTTCATAGATGATGGTAAGTAATCGACTGAAAATATCACAATGAAAATGCTTCAAATTGGCGAGAAACGCAATTTATTGCAGTTTCAAGCTTCAGTGCTAAATAATATAGTGAGAACATACATTCAGGGTCCCAATTGACGACGTCATTTCTATCGGGCCACAGCTTGTGCACAAAGCTCAGTTCAGGTACCAGCAGCGGCGGAGAAATTAGTTTCTTCATTCTAAAGTGACATACTAGCCTTCAGTGATTCAAACCACTATACAAACTCACTTATCATTCTGGCTGAATTCCAAGCTAAGAATATTATATAGCCGTGTTCGGTTGCTATCAATCATTTTGTCGTAGAACGTGCCGATGCACATGCTCTGGGTTACTTGTCGATAGACGTCAATCGTGTCTACCTTATACGTTCGTCCTAAATTGATGGAATTCGCTTGCATAAGGAGCTACCATGTGAGTGTTGTAAGTAGTCACTTTGTGTCACAAAATAGGCTATCAACGGGATGGCTTCGGTCTTTTCTCTCATAACATTGGACGCATACGGGGAAGAAAATACTCGAAAATAAGCACAAATCAAAAGCGAAGAGTGGTGATAAAACAAACAAGAGGACAAATCTCAAAACGGTAAGGAATAGCGTATACCGAAAAATGAACAGCGGTCATGACTCACCCAAGATCTCGACAATTGTTCGCAGGGTGAAATCCTCATCTCGATCGGGTACTCTCAGCTCTAGACCACGCGCTTCTTCAATCAAAAACACCTGAAGATGGTTTGTATGATCTTCAATATTGTAGCGAACCAACAACATAATGCCGGATTTTCACTCATATAAGTAAGAAGGAACATCAATCATCCATGAATATTTACCTTCTTCCAATTGGCTCTGCGATCGAACTGCTCCATAAATTCGAAACCGTCTTTGCAAATGGTAACATGCTGGTCGCTTCTGCAATTTGAATGATCTTCAAAATCACTACAAGTAAATGAGTGCCAAAACGTGGAATAACTGTCTCCCTAATTGAAAGACTCACGGAGGAGGTATGTTCGCTTCCCTCTTTATAAAATCCTTAATCCAAACTTCCGTGCCAACTTCAGTAGGAAGGTTAGCTTGCGACAAATCGTCAAATGCAAAACGATGTCGCAATATCACGGTCTTCACTAAAACAAAAAATACATTAAAGCGATCTGAATGCACCAGAAGAAGCACCATGTATAAAATTAGATGTAGAATAAACGGCAAATATAACATGACTTACTTTTTGTGGGACCCTTGGTGGTGGCACATCGAGGGCAATGAAATTTGTCGATCAGAACGTCTTCGTATTCTTCCACCCCGACGCAGCTAAAGCATAAGTTAAAAGAATATCCAAAGCTGTACATGTTGTTCAAAGTACAATAAATTCTTCCTACCCTCCGTGGAACCATTTCCCACATTCATCGCACTGTATCCAAAAAGTATCGACAGGATCTATCTTCAGAATCTGCCCATGTTCGGAAGTATGCTCAATCAGTGGCTCACCATCCTCGCTTTTGCTGCAACAAAACAAAACTGATGTGGCAGGCCTGGTTACGAGACAGGCCTAGCAATTACTTACTCAGGCACCCAAATAGCACTGGCGGGCCCACAAATGCCACATTCGTTCAAGCTTCCAGGGGAATGCTCGTTCAGTGCCACCGAAAATGGATAGAGTAGGAAGCGACTGACATTTAAGAGAAGAGAAATGCAAAGCAGATAGGGCTCGATGCATACATGTCTCAAGCGCCGGTAGTGGAACTATGCAGTAGCCGTAGTCAAGCAATAAGAAATGTTTCCATTTCCAGCAGTATCTTTTTCTTCATTCCGCTACTAACTCGCTCAGTCGCAGTCCTGCTTCCCCTCCTACTCTAACACTTTACCACGAGTAAGGGCGGAATGCAGGAAGACACACAAAGCAAGACTGTGAAAAAAGTGTCAAAGTGGCCAACTCCTATTCTTCTCCTACTGTATGAACAAAACGCATACGCCGCCGCAGTGACAGCACAAATGCCACCATGTGAAATGTGCCAAAACCTTGGGAATAAAGGAAAAAACAGCCCAAGATGTGATGTATGAGTTATGTAATTGAAAGCAAGCGACTGGTTCCAATGTTCGAAAAGACAAAGATCATAAGAAAATTGCAAAGTTTAAAGTGAAATACTAAGTGCCAAAAGGCTAAATTCCAGTTGATCATACCTTAGTTTCGACGGAAAGAGGCAGATGCACCCCTGGTGAAAACCCGCATTGTTCCTCTATGTTTGTTGCGTCAACTTCGTAATCCTAGATAATGATTTACGCAATATAGAAAACACCGAGAACATACTAAACCCACGGTAGTCCCGGATTCGCCAGCCTCTGCCTTCCACCAAAACTTTTCATCGGGCATCTCTTGCTTCTCCTGCAACATGAAAGATATATACAAGAAGGGCAATGCTGCGTTAGTGCTAATATCGACGACGTGTATATATCTTTATTGTATTGTGACAGTAAGTTGACCCTGGCAATCTTTTACACTTTTAGGACGAATGTACAATACAGCATTTGCAGCAGCTATGCTTGCTTATTTTCCAGACACACACTGTAATCAACAGCAAAAACTTATCTGGCTCTAAAACTAGGTAATTTCACTGCATGTAGCCAACAGTAATTGATTAGCGCGATTACAAACTTAGCCGATTCTCAAGATAAAGCACTCAAATATCTCCCTCACATCTCTCAGAATCACTCACAACATTTAAGAATTAAGCTCCACACAAAGTTCTGCACAAAAAATAGAACGAATGGAAATAAAATGAAAACAATGGTGACATATCATTAAGGTATTACCACATGTGGAGGCACTGCTTCAGATCCGATATGTGTGAGATCTTGATTTGTAGAGTTTATATGTACTGGCATTGGCATCTGTGTTCGTGAGCCAGATGGTACGAATTCGTGGAATTCAAACTGAAGATCGGCGGTACTCTGCGAATTCCTGCCCACACCCTCCTCCATCTTGCCTTAAAAAAGGAAGAAGTAGAAAACGACACTCAAAAACTCTGGAATGTAATAAAAACGCAAAAGAAGTTATCAACACTTCTAAGAATTTTCTCTCGAGTCAAAATCAAAAAGCTATGAAATAATGATTAACGACCGAAGCAACAAATCTAAAACTAAAAAAGTAGATTCGGAAAATTTGACCAATTGGTCAAACAACGCCAAAAACTCCAGCTCAATTTTTTTATCTCTTACAATTCTGCTCTTCATGAAACACACATTAACCACGATACAGGAGCCAAAGAACGATGAATGAACGAATTGGGTTTTGGAACTTTACAACGGAAAAGCCAGCCGCCACGCATCGCTCCGCAAGCGTGCACGCTTTCGTGGGGCACGTTTACCCGTATTTTCTCCTCCTTGCAATAAGGGACCCGTCATACTTCGCCGAAAAAATCCCAAAGAAGCCCCTAAGCGTCAGAAAGGGTTGGAACGTCCCCTTTTGCGCGCACGTTTTGCCGCTGAGGCATGTGTGTTGATTTCGCAACCAAGTCTTCTGTCGTCTTCACATAAAATAATGTCAGAAGGCCACCAAAGGTTCCAGGGGTGTTCCGGCTTTTCTGACGCTTTTGGACTTTTTGGGCGCTTTTGAGCTTTTCCGGCGCTTTCGGGCTCTTTGGGCATGTGGGTTTTTTTCGGCGAAGTATGACGGTCGTAGTATGGTCTTAGGATCCCATCCTGACCGTTCGTGAGTTGCCAAAGAAACAATCTGTCATATGTGGCAGGACAACTACCCCAATCGGTCGGCTAACTTTAAGCTCTGAATTAGTTCATCAACCAAGGATGAGAGAAGAAGCCAGTCGGTATGCCGCTCCAGGAAATTCGAAAAATGTCGTTATTCCACATTAGTTGGCCCAAAAAAACGAAAATTGCGGATTTTGCTAAAGCATCGTTCAGGGGGGGGGGGGGTATTTGTACGCTGATCATGAATGTCGCATTTTCGCACGATAGTGCCATGTGGTGGAGTTACGGCAGATTACGGTAGGGGTAAATCATGGGTTTCCAAACTTTGTCTTGCGATGTTCTTTATTACGCTGAACATGGATATCATATTCGAATTTGGGCGCTATCGTTCGAAATGAACATGATATTCATGTTCAGCGTAATAAGAACTCCCAAGAAAAGTTTGGAGCAAGTGATTTCAACCTCCTACCGCAATCCTACCGTAACTCCACCATATGGCACTACTTTGCGAAATAAACACAATATTCGCGGTCAGCGGGCAAAATAACTCTCCCCCTAGACGAAGTTCTAGCGAAATCCGCGATTTTCATTTTCTGGGTCAACTAATGTGAGATAGTACTCATTGATCTTGCTTGGTATTGAAGCACCATATCAAACTGTGAATACGGTAAATGTTTCAAATAACGAATTTGCCCAGAACTCTGCCGAAAAAGTTTTTCAGCATGCAGATGAAGAATACCAATTGTACTGTAAAGTCTTGTTTTGCGTGATAGGTAGGCGCCATACTTGTCCGCCTCAACCGGTTCATCCGGTTCACCCATTCGCTATTGGTCAAACTGAATTGACCAATAGCGCATGGGGTGAACCGGATGGACCTGTCGCACCGGATAAGTCTGCCATAAAAGGTGCGATGGGAGGAGCCGGGTCCTCTAAAAGTGAACGTAGTTCCAGACCACTGGCCGCCAAAATTGAAGGCGATGGTGCCGGGCCCACTGCTCAAAGGCAGCAGCTCGTCAAAACCGAACATCCCGGAAATTTGACATGGAAGGTTGCTTGCATCCCAAACATGAGAACAGAGCGGGCCCGAGCGCACAGCATGCTGCCCTTGCCTAGAAAATCCCTTACGCGCGAGCCATTCTAATACGCGCGGACGAGCTTGCGCATCTCCTGACCCGTCAGACAAGGGTGGGGGAACGAAAGCCGCCAGTTTGGGCCGCCTCCGCGGACTGCTGGTCCTGAAACGACATGCAACAACACTGCGAAAGGACCAGCTGGCCGCGAAAGGCGGCTCAAACTGGCGGCTTTCGTTCCCCTACCCGTCAGACAAGGCATGCTGTAATGTTATGTTCGAGGGTCCCTCAACGATTTAGAAAGCAATTTTGAAGTTTTTTGGTGATTTGAACCTCATATCCGAAATCAGCGTCATGGAAAGGCCCGATAATAATGAAAACATTTTTTTTTTATCCTTGCATTCTTCCCGTCATTCGGGGTCTGCTGCTCTCGTAAGTTCTCTCCATTCTTCTCGGTTCAAGACTTGCTGTTCATTTCTCAATTTCTTCTTTGCCACGACAGGTTTTCATAGCAACAATTTATTGTGCTGCCTAACGTTTCGGCGGATACGCCGTCCTCAGAGGCCTGAAAGTGAGTCAATCACTTTTATCAAACAAATTATGCCATCAAATGCCTCGACCAACTCGCACGTTTGACTTGTCCAATGCAACCGCAGTCCAGCGTCCAAGCTCGATCAACTTACCAAGACTCCCAGAGAAGAGCACGATAGAGGCTCTTTAGGTCGCCTACAGTGTACGGTAACAATAAACAGTCCAACTGGTTTGGACATGTTTAAATAGCTATAGGCTATCGAAATCACAAAATGATAAGAAAGGCTTCAGATCATTCGTCACAGACAACTGTTCACTCTTGCTATTTAATTTCGGGTTACGAGCAAGAATGAACGCGGCTTCTAACACTTTTCGAGCAGAGATGTTGTCCTCGATTGCCAGTATGCTGCAATTTATGTCAAAGTCTTCGCCGCCGTGATCTTCGCTTCTATGCTTCCCCAATGGGCTCACAAGGCTCTGTCTTCTTTTTTTGGCCAGATGTTCATTTACACGTACAAAAAGCGGTCGACCGGTCTCGCCGATGTAAATGGCCCGGCATGTTCGACATTCCAACTGGTAAACTACACCACTTTTTGAGCAATTTCCTGACCTTCCGTTAGTGCACATAACACAATTTCGCGATGTGCAAGCTCTATCGTATAATCGATTTCGTACCAGTTGTTTCTTGATGTTGTCTTGTGGTAGATTCACTAGAACAACATCATTATCCAACTGTGCTTGCGTAATACATCGTTTGACTGCGTTGGTCACTTTGTCGCATATAAACGGCAAGCATAAAGGAAGCGTGTTCGACTTTGGTTGCTGTCGTCCATGTATGTTCGTTTGGAGGCTTTCGATTGCAGCGAGTATCCGTTGTTGGAAGCTATGACGCGTGCCATTTCCAGAGACTCAAGTCTCTCACTTTCTCCGCTGCACACGCTGCTGGCTGTCTTGAACATGTTGCGGATAACCGCACGTTTCACGGCAGTTGGGTGAGCGGAAGTGGCGTGTAAGATAATGTTCTTGCTGCTCTCTTTCCGATACCATTTAATGTGTACAGCGCCGTTTGCCAACATCACCTGCGTGTTAAGGTAGGGTAACCAGTCATCGTGTGGTTTCTCTCTAGTTAAGCTAATGTACTGCGATTGTTCATTGAGGGTCTTAAAGCACTCATCCATTTCGGACTGAGTCGAAGTCACAATGAAACAATCGTCTATATATCGACAGTACATTGGGGGACGTCGCGTTAATACAGGCTCTTCTATCTTGCTCATAAAGCAGACAGCAAGAACCGGCGCTAGTCTCTGCCCCATCGCCAGCCCTCTTACTTGTGCGTAAAACTTGCCCGACCATTTAAAGATGTTACATCCAAGGCATTCCTTGATTAGAGCGATGATGCGCACTTTACTGAGTCCGTACGTTTCCATACTTGCAATATGCGTATCGAGGAGCTCAGAAAGTGCTTGTAGGGCGTCATCATTAGACACATTTGTGTATAATGACTCCACATCAAACGACTCCATTACACAATTCTGGTCGAAATGCGTATTGTGTAATTGTTCAAGAAAGCGGTTGGTGTTCGGTAAATGAGCGGGTATTTTAGTTAAGAGTTGGCTGACAGTCTTGTTTAAAAACCATGCAAAAAAACCCTTCTATACCGGCTTGCTTGCCAATCATCATCCAGATGTGGTTCAGTCGCTTGCATTGAGAAAGATATTCTTTCTCCGTCGTAACACGATAGACTGAATCATCGGATAAGTGATTTTCGGTAATATCACGGTCCACTGTCTGAGGCATGACGACGAACTCACCCCCTTTATCGCTGACTGAAAGCCGGAGGGTGCCGTTCGCTGTCAGTTCCCGCAGCTCCTTGAAACCCTGCTTTTGTGCTTGAGTCAAATTGGAATATTTGAAACTGCGGCTTTCATTTAGAATGCTCAAAATGCCCGCCGACAGTATCCGAAATTTGACATCAGCTTCATGGCAGGGATCGGGTTCTTTGTAGAACGACGAAGGGAAAGGTATTGAGGGTAGCGGTCTTCTACAAGAAACAGAAGCTTGTATGTTGTTATCAAGCCTGACTTTGGTCCGTAACTGATCTCTAAAACGCTTAGATTGCTCAAAAAGTGGTGTAGTTTACCAGTTGGAATGTCGAACATGCCGGGCCACTTACATCGGCGAGACCGGTCGACCGCTTTTTGTACGTGTAAATGAACATCTGGCTAAAAAAAGAAGACAGAGCCTTGTGAGCCCATTGGGGAAGCATAGAAGCGAAGATCACGGCGGCGAAGACTTTGACATAAATTGCAGCATACTGGCAATCGAGGACAACATCTCTGCTCGAAAAGTGTTAGAAGCCGCGTTCATTCTTGCTCGTAACCCGAAATTAAATAGCAAGAATGAACAGTTGTCTGTGACGAATGATCTGAAACCTTTCTTATCATTTTGTGATTTCGATAGCCTATAGCTATTTAAACATGTCCAAACCAGTTGGACTGTTTATTGTTACCGTACACTGTAGGCGACCTAAAGAGCCTCTATCGTGCTCTTCTCTGGGAGTCTTGGTAAGTTGATCGAGCTTGGACGCTGGACTGCGGTTGCATTGGACGAGTCAAACGTGCGAGTTGGTCGAGGCATTTGATGGCATAATTTGTTTGATAAAAGTGATTGACTCACTTTCAGGCCTCTGAGGACGGCGTATCCGCCGAAACGTTAGGCAGCACAATAAATTGTTCCTATGAAAACCTGTCGTGGCAAAGAAGAAATTGAGAAATACTCAACATTATGCCAAGGTTTAAAGAAAGGAGAACTTTTGAGTTACTTGCTGTTCATTTATCTCAAGTTCTCTCTTATCTGCTTTAATCTGTCTAGCCATCTCTTGGGTCTTCCTTTTGGCCTCTTTCCTGGTACGTTCACTGTCATGGCCAACCTGGCTGTGTGGTCTCCATCTCGTCGACTCACGTGTCCATACCATCTCAATCGTCTCCCTTGCATCTTCTTGGTGACTGGCGCAACTTCCGTTATGCTTTGTACTGTGTCGTTCGTGATGTGGTCCATCATGGTGATTCCTATAGTCCACCTCAGCATCCTCGTCTCCATTACACCAATATTCCTCTCTGCGGGTACACGGCCACAATCGCTTCCATACAGCGCCGCTGGACGAACTACTGCGCGTTACATCAGGGATTTGAGGTCTCTCGGCATCCTTCGGTCGCATAGCACTCCTGTCAAGCTTCTCCATTTCATCCGAGCTGCATTCACTCTACCGCTTATTTCGTCATGTGACTTCCATCTGCGGAGATACGGCTTCCCAGGTACTTGAAGGACTTGGTCGTCGTGCCTCCAATCTGAATGCTTCCTGGTTGAGCTCCAGTCTCCATGTACTCTGTCTTTGTTGTGTTCAGCTTCAATCCGTGCAGCTCCAATTGATCTACTGCTGCACATCCATTTGGAGTTCTTGCCTGCTTCTTGCTAGTAGAACTACATCATCTTCATACATGAGTACCCACGGTGGTTGCCGGATGAATCCTTCAACTATCGCATCCATCACGGCGATGAACAGGAGCGGTGAGAGTACGGAACCCTGATGTACTCCAGCGTGTATCGAGAATTCTTTCCGACGGTCCGGCTTCTGTTTGGATGTGGCTGGTGGCACCTTTGTAGATCATTTGGATCCATTGTACATAGATCTCTGGCACCCAGTGGCGTACCGAGGGGGAACGGGAGGGGCGCGCGCCCCCCCCCCCCCCCGAGAACGGGTCGCGAAATTTTTGATAGTTACTTACATTGTAAATATGTGCAAGTGACTTGTTTATTTTTTTAAACAATTAAAATAATTTTTAAAAATATTTAAAAATTCAAATTAGTCTTATAAAATTTTTTTTCGGGGGCGTGGCTGACGCCACGCCCCCTTTTTGCAGATTTTAGGGGTTGGGGGCCCGCAGAAATTTTGGGAAGCCCCCTAAAATTTTTTCGGAGTGCGTGGCTAACGCCACGCACCTTCATTTGAAAAAATTTTTTGCCGCGCCCCTCCCCCCCGAGCCGAAATCCTGGGTACGCCACTGCTGGCACCATGCTTGCGCAGTGCCCACCACATTATCTCGTGCGGTACTTTGTCGAACGCCTTCTCGAGATTTAGGAACGCGGCGTGTAGTTGACTTGCTTTTCCCTGCTTCGTTCGATCATTATTCTGGCTGTGTGGATGGCGTCTGTCGTGCTACAGCCCTTCACGAATCCACATTGGTTAGGGGCCAGCTTTATGATGCTTCGAAGTCTCGTCTCCAGTATTCTTTCGTCTTCAGCGTGTGGCTCATGAGACGTATAGGTCGGTACGTAGAAAGTCCGCTATGTCCCCTTTGTTCTTCCATATTGATATCGTTGTGCTTCTGTACCAGTCGCTTGGTCTTCTTGGATTCTACTATCTGATTGAGTAGTCGCGTTAGCCAAGTGACTCCAACTTGCCCACACTCCTTCCAGAATTCGCTGGGAATGTCGTCTGGACCCGTTGCCTTTCCGTTTCTCGTCTTCGTTATGGCGCTGCGGACCTCTTCCTCTGTGATCTTCATTACCGGTCCTTTTACGGGATCTGCTACTACTGTAAATGATTTCTCGTAGCTTGTAGATGCGATTGCTTCGAAGTGCGTTTGCCACCGTACACGTATCTTTTCTGGTCTTCTTAGGATTCTTCCGTTCACATCCTTGATATTGTAGAAGTGATCCGTGTCTGGTGTTGTCTCTCGATCTCCTTTTTGCAATTCGCTATATCTCTTGTTCGCCTTCGCGAGTGTTATTATTCACCGCCAACCAGACCCCGCTACCGTAGTTGGCGGGCGACGTCGGTTGCATCGGTTGCATGAATTGCTTGCGGACCCACCGCCCAAGTGCTGGATTCCCGCGCAGAACCTTGCAAGTCGAGGCAAGTCGTCCAGTAATTACGGTACTGGTAGAGGTGTCTGGACACTGCCTTTTATCAGCTCACGAAGCCCCGCCTTCCAGCCGCCAAGACAGTTGAAGCAAAGGATAGATCTCGCAAACGCCACCACCGCTGCTAATGAGATTATAATTGAAGCAAGCAAGAACGAAAGAAGGAACTGTACTGGGTTTGCGCAAAGTGTAAGGACGTGCCATCTACGTATTGTGTTGGAAAGTAATAGAACATCTCAAATTTTTTTGTACATTTTGTTTTTGCCTCGATCAACAACAAGCAGGTTGCAGCTTAGATCTCAGCGAATTTTAGCAGTATGAGCGACTATTGCCTATCATTCTGGCAACGAGCTGGCGCTTCTCTCTCACAGCACTTGGTGAGCCTCGAAGAACTCGGACAGGGGTTGTTGGACATCTCCTAATCTAGTGCTGCTATACCGTGAAGTCATGATGCAGGTGGCAAACCACTGGAAAGAGATCTTCAAGCTGTCTCAAACGCTTTATCAAATTTGGAAGTCCTCTAAGTTTTCAGGTAAAACGGCAAAAATTTCAAAGTTTGCGATTTTTTAGCCCAATGAAAGGCCAAGAAATCGTGTTTCTGCTCATATGTTTCGAATACCTATGAAAATTGAGGGCGCATGGGTAAAGAAAGGGTGCTTTCTCGGACGATAAATAGAAGACTTGCGCTTACTTGCAAAGTAGTAAATTGTAGGTTTTCCCTCACCATTGCAGCAGGGTATTTAGGATGCGCGTACTCGACTTCGCAGTTACTGTTCAAAGTTGAGAATTAGTCGAAGTGACTAACTTCACATTTCAGCAAGTTTAAAAACTCTAAACTTGTAAATGGCCTTATATGGATATTAGCTGAAAGGATAATGTATTCTAACATCTATCAAAATCAAAGCAACTAATGAGTCCTCTTTTTTAAGAAATCTGCAGTTATTCTCGAAGTGTCCCAGTACTTTCCGACCACCCTGATACTTAGTATAGAAGCTTGATAAAAGAAAAACCAACTGCGATGAATTTTGAGCAAAATTCGAGGTCTTGAGCTCTGTGCCATTGGTGACATTGACGCTGTTTTCCTGAAATTAGAAAAAGCTTTATAAAAACAAATTCACATCATGAATTGGGAGTGAAGTGCAATATCACATACGACAAATCAACACTTTGTAAGGGTGCAAAAGACTGATTAACACATTCCCGACAATAAGAACTACCGGTAGGTCGTACGTGTACTGCCATTCCGTACAATACGACGCACCGGCGGTGATACCTCTAAACATTACAAGTCTATCATGAAAGCACATCAGCTTTCGGCCATGCAATACGTCTGAATGGAGCTCTATTTTAGACTACCACCTTTCGGACCATACGACCAAACGGTGATCGAGAAAAAAAAACGAGAAAGTTGGCACCGATGGGAAGTCCGAAACGACAGAAATTGGCCTTGTCGTGAATGTGTTGAATGGGAAAAAGTCGCAATCCTGGATTTATGCAAAATAATCACCAAACGCATTACGGAGCATCTACTCTGACTTCGTGTAAAAAACTTTTAGCAGCAGATATTGTTCGAGAGAGTGTTCGGACAGCAACGATAACACTCAAATTATCCAAAAAATTCGGTACTACTTAATTCCAGTAACAAGTTAGGAATTGTAAAATACCTCCAGAAGTGAAGAACATTCGATTTGAGCTTGCTGAGCACATGCTAACTGAAATTGTAGCTGAGAGAATAAGGCATTTCGAGAATTTCTGTCCTGAATAGCTTCAACTTTTTCATGTGTGTAAGCGGCACATTTTCATCTATTGTCTGTAATTGGACGATTTTTACAATGATCTACCGCATCAAACATATCTGAAGCACTCTGACAGATCACGATGGATTGTTAGAAAAGGTATATAAATACAGGGTGTCACAAAAAACCTACTATTTGATTGTCAAAAGCTCTCTTGTTATGAAGTCTTTCGAGAAGCGTCAGGTACCATTTTGCAGAGCTGGCTTCAATTTACATAGATGACAGTATGGGGCAGTGGCGGTGGGGGCGGCAAAATTTTTCTCCAATGAAGGTGCGTGGCGTCAGCCACGCACTACGAAAAATTTTTTGGGGTACTTCCCAAAATGTTTGCGGGTCCACAACCCCTAAAATCTGGAAAAAGGGGGCGTGGGGTGAGCCATTTTACAAGGCTAGTTTGCATTTTTAAAAATTTTTAAAAATTATTTTAATTGTTTACAAGATAAAACAAGACACTTGCGCAATTTTATAACCCATATAAGTAATTTTTAAAAGTTTCGCGATCCATTCTCGAGGGGGGGGAGTGGGCGCCCCCTACCCCCCCCCCCTTCGGTCCCCCACTGATATAGAGTGTTCTACCGATCTCTCTTCGTTACGTAGGATTACGGGGACTTTGGGGAAGGTCTTGCGTTTACCCCTAAAAACGTACTAAAGGGGGTGAAAACTCCTACAGTAGTTTAATCAAAGTTACCGATTTCAATTATGAAAATAGCACTTCACCGTACGCTTTTCTCATAAGTTATGCCAGAAATTCTATAACAAACGATTTCTGACATTAGTCAAAAACTTGATTGCGCCCTTTGAAAAGCTCTGCAAACGCGCAAATGTAGTAAAATCAGGATGCCAGAAAATATCTGGAGAAGCTAAGGACTGCTTCGACAAAGGTATGACAAATCTTGTTTTCTCGATTTGTCACATGAGTATCTGACTTAGGGAATGCCTGCCTGAGCAAATAGGGGTCCCTAAGAATTTCTGGGCGCAGACAAAATCATCGGTATTCCAGACGCTTCGAGCATTTTAGAAATGGCTTCAAACTTTACGTAAATCAAACTTGTTGCGAGTTTTGAGCTTCAACTTGCGGAGCTTGCTTTGCTCTGAACATTATCCTTTTACTTTTGTTAGTGCTATCTATGTCGCGATATCACAGCATAACCGACTATGCAACATTGTCTTCCAGCTTATCACAAGAGCAAAACAGTTTCAACTATAAATATTAAGTTTCACTTTCCAAACCTGGGCAACGATTGTATTTGTAAATGTTTTACGCCACACAGCTTTTATAGATAGTCTTTATTGATTCCAATCACGGATAATGTTTCGGCGCCTTCATCTTCTTCAGAGGCCTAAAAGTGGTTCATCATCCGTGGCTCCAAGCCATCAAACACCTCTCCTAGTCCTTCTGGTTCTCGACCTCCTCTCAGCTTTCCTACCATAAAAGTTGTTAGGGCAGAGGATGAACATATTGTGAGACACCGCTGTTCATGGTAAGCGGATATCGAATGTGATCAACAAACCGCATGACGATATGAGCGGAAGGAACTCGGATGTTATTGACAACCACTCATTTTTACTGTTCGGTTCAACTATCTCAATTTAACGAGTACAAGACGCATTCAAAAAAGCAGCACGCCGGCACCACTGTGACTCGCGATATAGTCGCTACAATCTTCTTAATTGAATATCAGCACGGTAGAGGCTCTCTCGGTCGCGAAATTTTTCAGTATGATTCAGTATTTTTCAGTATGGTCGAGCTCAGAAGGAAATCAGATGCGCCTTGTACCTGTGAAATAAGGGTAGTAGTTTCTATCCCCTCATACTTTGTACTTCATCGATCCCACTAACAATAAACCATAGCTTTTTTGCAATGCTGATTGATATACTTTCTAGCAATGATGGATTACTAAGGTAGTCTTTGCACTTTAGCGCATAAAAGTGATTTGCCGAAAATCTAGACTGTCAGTTAAGGCGTTGGCACTAGTTCTAGCGGGCTGGCTGCGGCTGCCTGGGTCACTCGTTATGAAGTCAGCCAGTTGTGACGTTGACCAAGCCTCCCAAAAAATTTTGGGGGCTCTACAAATTTTGCAAGCTCGTGAACGAATATAAGATATTCTTTGTCAAAATTCATAGATGTCTAACTTCGTCTTGGCGGAATTATGCCCCATTTTGTCTCTCACCAATGTTCCAATGGGAAGAAATAGCATTGTGAATGTGACTATAGAGAATGGTTGCACTCGCTACCTTGTCTTTATTCGAATTTCTTGCGCCAGGTTGCTGCATTAGCATCTGGACTAAAATTATTTTCTCGACTATTTGGGGTTTGTTCAGAGGTTTTCCTATTGCAACTTTTTTTACTATGCTTCACTGTGTCGAAACTAGCACTGTCCCACCTCGAGGATCACGTACAAAAAAGGAGTTTTACGGTGTTGAAGCAAAATGGAAAATACGGGGGACCCCAACCTATCTGTATTAGTGCCGCATGCACTAACATGGCCGTGGGGAGGGGATCGCAGCTTAAAGCAAAGCTTCATATTTCGGAATTCCAGATACCTAGATTTCACGTTGTGTACCTATCCGTAAGTATGCCTACTATCCTTCACTATGAACATGTTGAGCAGGAGCGATAAGCTGTACAAACGGCATTTTCCAACTTTTGTATGATCCCTGATGATCCCCGGCGCTTTTTTCTTTCTCCAAAGTTAACGAAAAACTTCCAAAGTTGTGCAGATTATCTAACCCAACAGTGCTAAGCATGTTGCTGATAAGAACAAATGATGTTTTGAAGTCATGAAATTTTCGATGATCCACAGGTCGAAATTCTGGGTATCCCGAAAAAATTGATTTTTCAAAAATTCATTTGTTCTCATCAGCAACATGCTTAGCACTGTTGTGTTAGATGTTCAATATAACTTTGGAAGGTTTTCGTTAACTTCGGAGAAAGAAAAATGACTTTGAAGAATAAATGATCGTCCCCCAGGGATCATCAGGGGATCCTACAAAAAGCTGGAAAATGCGGCTTGTACAGCTTCTCACTTCTGTTCATAGTGAAGGATGGTGGGAGTACTTACGGATAGGTAGACAGCGTGAAATCCAGAAATCCGGAGCTCCAGGATATGAAGCTTTTTTCTGAAGCTGCGATCCCCTCCCCAGCGGAAATGTTAGTGCATGCGGCCATTAGGCTGCTGCATAAGTTCTGTCCAATTTGAATTTTTTGAGTTCAAAATGTCATAACTTCTTTCAAAGTCAACTTTTTTCCAAGATCTTAGTATCTCTGTGTTAGCAGTTCCTTGGCTATCAGATACATAATGTGCAAAAATCTCCGTTAAGAAGCAGTAAGAAGTTAAGAACTTTGCAGCGTTTTTCTTTAAACCTGTCTTTTTTGACATTGCGATGCTCCCTTATGAGAATTGATAGGGATCTTATCTAACAATGGATAGATAGAGAAATTTTTGCAAATTATTTTGTAACACAAAAGAAACCCTAGGATCTGCGTTGCCAAGAGATTATTTGACCGAGCAAAAAAGAAACCACTTTTTCACCTCGCTTTAGCACATATGTGGATGCCTACTTACGAATTATGAAAATTTTACAACAGACGTGAATGCCAAAATGGAATTGGTGGATGGGCCCTGCTAACTCTTGCTTTACCCTAGCACCTCTAACTTTGAACGCATCGATTACCTCTGTTCGCAGAAAGTTATTGCTTGTAAAAACATTTATGCAAAAAATCATTTTTCGGCAGCAGATTTTACTACCAAGACGTCTTCTTCATGAATTTGAGCTTGTGCATATACTAGCCTGTTACACTCTTATTACGCAACCGGTGAAAGGACCTGACTTGAAATGCGCGTTGTGAAGATTTTCTCGCAAAACATAATTCTAGGGTGAGAACGTAAATCTCCATTGGGAGATTTTAGGTCTGAAATCTTCTTACACTAAGGGCCGCATGCACTAACATCCCTGCGGCGAGGGGAGCGGCGTCCCCAATGATGAAAAAGCCGCAGCGGCGTCTGCACGCGGTCCCTTCATAATGGGGGACGCCGCTCCCCTCGCCGCAAAAATGTTAGTGCATACGGGCCTAAGAAAATTATTCCAATTCGATACGCGTTAGAAAGAGCAAGAAAAGCACTTTCTAATATATTAACAATATTGCATTAGAGATTAAAGTCTCTTAGAACAGCTGTTTCAAACATAAGGCTAAAAAATCGGACAGAACTTATGCAGCAGCCTAATATTAGGTTGGTGCAAAAGTTCTTGCGCACGATTTTCAAAAATTCAT